CCGTTCCCTGATTATTACCAATCGATTACAACACATTATATGTACATAAATATGTACTAGGGTTACAATTACCGGCTAGATGAATTATGGATACTAATAAAGGCAAAATTCTTCCCCTGAGAGGTTTTCCCATTTGAGTTTCAATACGGTTTCCTCTTAGCTTTGATGCAAAATTACTCATTAGCCATCGCGAAGCACGCCGGGTAATTGCTAGTGTATGTATAAATATGAATAATCAATGACTTTTTAAAAAATTTAGTTCTTGTAAAAATTACATACCATTGTTTTATCTTTTTTTTTTTTAAGTTTTGCTTGACACCAGAGTACGAAAACAAACCGAACGGGTAGATACCTATTTCCAAAACAGGTACGAAAAGTTTTTTGTTCCTTTCGTTCTGCTCCCGAGCACTGACAATACACGATGGGGTTGAATTGCAGCTGAGTACAAACCAAACGAATTTTTTGTTCATTTGTTCATTGCGTGGTTTCGATTGTAGTAAAGATACTCAGGGGTTTTAAGGTTGCATATGTGGATATTTCTATGCATTAATTGACGTTTTTTTCCAAACTAAAGAACTCATAAAAGCAAAACAATAGATACTGACCACATCGTTAACAATGCAGAAACTGTACATACCTGAGTCTCAAGGTTGCCTAGACGGATATTTATATGCGTCATGAACGTTTTTCCCAGACTAAAAAAACTCCTTTTTAACATAAAACAAAGGATCCTAACCACATCATTAAAAAACCAAAAAATAATACATCTATATCTATACTATGTATAAAATTCAAACCCAAAAGAGCGTGAGAGCAAAACAGCCGATGAACTGGGTCGATTTCTATGATTCAAGTTTTAAAATGACATATTTGTACCACAGTAGGAAACAGTGGTATTTTTTAAATGAAATTTTAATAATAAGTATGTATGCAACTGGCTAAAGAATCCAACAAATACTACGTGATATGTACAGACAGCAAATCGGTATTCCTAGCTTCCCAAAAATTTCAAATACGAGACAGCCCGTTACGATCAATCCAACAACTACTGATGAATGCCTCACCAAAAATAAAATTGATGTGGATCCCATCTCACTCAGGCATCTTGGGCAATGAGCAAGCAGACCGTGCTGCGAAATCCTCGTTAAAAGACTGTCTTCACGTCTTCATGCCATTTGATGTGAAGTCACTAAAAACCTATTACTCTAACGCCCTACGTACACATCTTAATGAGGAATGGTCAACTTACACCCACGCATACAAAGACATAAACCCTCTCGGCGTTCCGATCAAACTTCCTACCAACACCTCAACATGGGCCAACAGATGCTTCATTCGCCTCAGACTAGGACATACACTTATAACACATGAATATATTTTGCAATCGAAATCTCAACCCAAGTGCCACTTCTGCAACAATTACAATCTAACAATCCAGCATATTTTATCAGAGTGCCCAAATCTGCACGCTCAACGTACTCAAGTATTTCGAGGACAGAACCCACTCCAACTAACCCTACGACATCCCGCAGAATCCAACATAAGGCTAATTGTCAACTTTCTAAAAGATATTAACATTTTTCACCTAATTTAAAGATCTAGTAATAAGTATTATATTCATATGACTAAGCCGATAGCCTTGGTAGCTTGTGCTTAAAAGTTATTTTTGTAATTTTAATTATAGATAACAAATAAATAATAATAATAATACATATACATATATGTATGTACATGTGTTATAGTATTACCAAGTGACATGTGTGCACAAACATAAATACACTAGCCGACACGGCGAACTTCGTCCCGGCCAAAATTAAATTTTTATTGAAACATTTTGTCCGACGTTTTCAACAACAATTCATGTTCACGTTTGGTTTTGTGATCGTCAGAAGGCATATGCTTACGGTGACCATATTAATCAACGTAAAATACAGGAAATTTTTTTCAAAATGATTTGGGAAAACGTACATACAACTTGTATGATAAAAGTACGTTACCCATATCGTAATTTAAATCAAATATTTACCAGTTAATTAACCGATTTCGAAAAAATGAAGCCAAATCCTTTTCAAGGACTTCGCCATCCTTTGCTGCCAAAATTCGTTTACCATAATTCATCCTGCACGCCGAAGCCAGAACACAGTGGTTCAAAATTGGAACTTAATGTCCATAATTCACCGTAGTCTTCATTTTTTAACCAATTTTTACTAAAAACTAAGAAAAAATTTATTTTGGTGAAGTTTTTTTATAACATTTCAAACATTTTTTTGTAATTTGTTTGTTTTGGGGAATCATTGTTTTCAACTAGTCTTTGTTATGTAACATTTATTAACTGGAACAGGAGAATACATTTTCTTCAAAATTGTCACCTATTCTGCATTTTGCACTAACAAATTCAATATAATCAAAGAAAAATTCACAAATCAGGCTCAACTGGTCTCTTGCAAATATTATAAGCTTTCATAAAAAAAATGATCAAATTAAGTGAAAAAAATGAAGGCTCGAGTGAATTACGAACACTAAATGCCAGTTTTGAACTACTGTGCGCAGGGGTTTATTGTTCTCTTTCATTGAAACTGGAAACTCAACATGCAACACGATCTTGGGCCCAACTTTCCCTGTGCTTTATACATTGTGCAAGGATTACCTATTAAATAAAAACCCTTAAGTGGGGTGCGAAACGAACTGGGGAAGGTTATATTTTATAAGGGAAATTTTTATTTTTCATATTCTGTGTTTAGAAATTTACCTCTGAAAAAACGAGAGCTGAATTAAAGGACAGTTTAAGGACAAAAGGCGTCCTCTATTTTGAAAAAAAATTGTAAAGGACGATGGGTTAAAATAAAGGACGGAAGGTCACCGTACATATGCTCCATTGCCGTCTTAAATAACCCAATTAAAGTGTTAAGTCCATGAAGCAGTACTTGCGGCAACAATGATCCGGCTCGATGGCGAATCGTCCTTGAATCTGTATAGAACAGTTGGTGGAAATTTCAAAATGGGGTAGTATCTTTGGTCCACATAAATCTAATATACATAAACTTATTTCAGACGAAATATCGTGAATATCGTACAATTGTATTTGTGGGCATTTATCAAGAATTGTCTTTATTGTGGTTAGTCGTAAAGCAAGGACCGCAGTGGTTCTGGTGGTTGATTTGACGGTGGTAATTTGGATTTGATCCCTGGTATCTCCGAATGACAACATTTGACGATTTTTACCAATAACTCGACTCCAGCCCCACCTTGCAGCTCTTTTCTTTTGCAATAGTGTTGTCCTACCGTCACCAATATATATCTCTAACATGAGCCAACGGGACTCACTCAAACACATAAAAAAACCTCATTAAAATCGTTTCGGTCGGTTAGGAGGAGTTTACTTACAAACACTCGTACCGAGGAATTATTTATATATGTATTTACAGAGAGATAAAGGTTTCAGTATGTTTGGAAGGCGCCATGCCCCCTTTTCCAATAACCCCCACTTTTCTCCAAGGGTATGGCATTGATCCAAATATTTCCATACCAAGTTCCAGGACTCTGCTACAAATATACCTAGAGATATGCGGTATGAAAAATTCGATTTGGAGATGTCACACTCTCTTGATATATCGAAATTATTATCAGCCTATAACCATCCTTGGAAAGTCTGCAGTAGGTGTACAAAATTTAAAAAACAAAATCGCATCTTATAAAATGAAGGGATTTCTCTTTATTTAATTAGTAAATATAATAAGTATAGATAAATAGCCAATACCCGCCTGTTTTGCGGCGCCTTAAAACATTTCGATCTGTAAAACAACCATTCGATTCTATTCTATGTACATCTTTAATAAGTGTACCAAATTTCAATCACATCGGACAATAACGAAGCTTTTTTTGGATAGATCCTGGTCCACCTACGTGAAAAAGGAACCGATATGCTAATCTAGGCGAAAAGCTACCTGCGTGTCAAATTTCAAGCAAATCGGACCATAAATACGATTTTTTGAATAGATCGGTCCCTTGTCTACTTACCGGATTCTTTATGTTAATTTCAGAGACCGAAAATAAATGGTCCACATTAAACACATTGTAACTTTTTCTATCATATGAGAAATGGAATCGCTAACGAAAATAAAGGCCAACCTCAGTTATTTATGAATTTTTTTTGTTGAAAAGGTGAGTTAGTAAATTTAATTATGCTGCAGAGAAAATATATGATGAAATGCAACGAAGTAAAACAAACTATTGTCACGATAATCGTCACTCAGATCACTCAAACCTTAAAGCGGCCCTGTATTTTTAAAGCAGTGTCAAATATCGGATTGCTGTCAACGCCAACCCATATTCGGATGACCTATATTTCTGTCAGCGACTCTGACACTAAAAACGTCTCGCATAAATTACACAATTAATGGCAATGCACTTGAACAAAGAAGCGCAGGCACTTCGACCCTTTGAGCCACCGCGTTAAGCGCAGTGCAAACAAGCAATGCAAGAATAACGAAATGTAGATCCAATTTCTAATGACACACTTAGGGCCAGTTTTTCAGTGCGAGTTTAACTTCGTTTCTCGTTTAAACTCAATATGCAGTTTTTCAGTTCAATTTAAACGTAGTTTAAACTAAGTTTAAACGCCCAATCTGGCAGGTTTAAACTGAATTTAACTAATCAGCTGTTCATCTGTCGAGTTGTCATCGGATGGAAAAGTTTATTTGAAAGTGAAATCAACAAAATTAAAATTGCTTGATAAAATGGATTTATCTACTGGCAGTGATTATAGCGACACAGAAATAAGCGAAATGCTCACAATTGTTGTATTGCGAAGGACAAGAATTGTATCCACTCGGCCAAATCATTTCAATGTCTTGGATGACAAGGATTTTTATGATCGATTCCGGATGAGCAAGGCATCAGTGTATAGCATTTTGGAGCTTATCGGACATCACATAAAGCACCCAACAGATTGGTAAGGATATTTTTAGTTTAATAATTAAAGTAATAATTTTTCCATTTGTATGAATCACGCCTTAACAGAGGAGCAAATACTTTTAATCACTTTGCGGGTATATGCGACTGGTGGAATGCTTCAAACAATTGGCGATTTGTTTGGGGCATCAAAATGGACAGTGTCCAAAGTTGTTACGCTGGTGTCACACCATATAGCATTGCTAAGAGAACGGTTCATAACATTTCCAAAAGATGACAGCCAAAAATATGAAACTTATAAAGGATTTTACAGTATTGCTAAGTTTCCCACAGTAATAGGTGCTTTGGATTGTACGCACGTGAAGATAATCTTACCAGGTACCTGCTTTTGTTTATTATTATTACTATTACATACTGACATATTCCATAGGTGGTAATAATCCAGAGCTTTATCGAATTAGAAAAGGATTTTTCTCCATTAACGTCCAAACAATATGTGATGCAAACTTAAAGATAACAAATATTGTTGCTCGCTGGCTCGGATCTGCTCACGACTTAAATATATTAAGAAATTCCAGGATTTATTTTCGTTTCGAAAACGGTGAATTCGGGGACAGTTTAATTGTTGCAGATAGTGGTTATCTAAATAAAAGGTTTTTGATAACACCTTTGTCTAACCCGATAACTCCAGAAGAAAACTTATTCAATGAGTCTTTAATAAGAACGCGTTGTACCGCGGAAAGGAGTTATGGTGTTTGGAAAATGCGCTTTTCAATTCTGTCACTTGGAATTCGTTTAAATCACAAAAAAGTCCAGAGCATAGTTGTTGCTACTGCTGCCCTACATAATATTTGCTGCACAAATAATGAAAACGATTTACATTTATTAGATCCTCATGCTTCCACTGCAGTAGATTTCGCTCCCTCAGTTCCAAGGAACAGGCAATGAGAAACTTCGAATCCAAACAATTCAACCAGAACATCATTAGTTAACAATTACTTTAAGGACTTGCTTAGAAATGGAAACAGTTAGTTTTCATGTAAAAATTTTATATTCAGTCTTTTATTTTTTTAAGTGCTTTCATAACGGTTTAGCGTACATAATAAAATATGAATTGGTCTAAATTTATCACATAATATAAAAGGTAATTCAGTTTTCTTATTACATACTATCACCCCTATGCTGTAATCCGAAAGTTCGTAGTTACGAATTCATAGCTCCGTTCCGAAAATTCGAAAACTGATACGCTGTAATCCGATCGTAACTATCAACGGCGTTGCCAACTAAAATAGTGAAATTCGAAGTTCTTAATCAGCTGCTCAAACAACAAATCAAAATAAATATAATCGCAAGTGAACAGTGAAATTAAAAAAAAAATTTTTTATCGTATTTGAAAAAGCTTTTTCTTAACAAAGTAAAATATATTGGATTCAGTGGCCGGTGCACTTTTGTCTCAGGAGGAAGAACATGCTGCAGTCACCTGTTGCATTAATATACAAAGGAGACTGCTACGAGACAGTTCTGATCCATTTAGCTTAAATGATAAAATGTAAGTTTTATAATTGATTTCACTGATACACACATAAATTAATCGTTTAATAGAGGTGGAGAAAACATCGATGCACTATCGATGTATCGATGTTTTTGCATTTTTGTTAAACATCGATAGTTGATTGCGACTATCGATGTTTCCTTTGTGCACCTCTGCAAATGTAAATAACGACGAGTTAAAAGAGAACACGCAAAAGGTATGAACTATAAAATTATATTAGTTTCAACTTTGTAACATTTTTTAAGTTTTTATTAAATTTCATTCGTGGTGGTGGCGGCGGACGTGGAGTTGTGGTAATCTTTCAGCGATGGAGAAACACCTTAAAAGTAAGTATTTATCATATAAGTAAACGCGCATGTGATTTTTCAACATGCACATTTCAAACGCGTGCGTATGTACATATGTTTATGGTGGACATACATTGTATTATGGCTTTAATTGTATGATTTATATTTAATAGGAACATCAAAGGAAAACTGCGAGGCTGAGTCCTCAAAACGTAAGCGGGAAGGCTCCATAGTTTGGCAGCATTTCGAGAAAACCAACGACGGGACAAAGGCGATATGCACTTACTGCGGAAAAATTTTAAAAACGGCAGGCAACACGACTAACCTCACGGACCATTTAAAACGCATACATCCCAATCGCCTCACTGCAGATAAACTTCCTGTATCAACAAAGTTGGATGCATTTTTACTTCGTGATGTGCAGTACCCAGCTGATTCTAAGCGTAAGGAAGAACTGGACAAACATGTAATGCGTATGATTGCACTAGACGTGCAACCATTTAGTATTGTGAATGATACAGGATTCCGTGCATTGATGCATAAAATGGATCCCCGATACAAATTACCATCCAAAACATACCTTCGAGATGTATCGCTTCCCAAAGTTTACGAGTCTTTAAAAGGCCAACTACAGTCAGCCTTAGAATGTGTGGAGTATGTGGCAATCACAACAGACGGTTGGACCTCCAAGGCGAACGAGAGCTATTTGACCATAACCTGCCATTTTATTAATACGGAATTCCTGCTAAATTCAGCAGTTTTGTCAACATCGACCCTTTTAATGTGCACTAACCACACTGCTGCGAATATTGCATACTCAATTCGCGTGGTTTTGACGGAGTGGGGTCTGATGGGAAAAGTGGTTTCTATAGTGACTGACAACGACAGCACCATGAAGAAGGCGTGCGAGCTTCTGGGGGTTAAGCATTTTCCATGTTTCGCGCACACTGTCAACTTGCTAGTTCAAGATGTCCTAAAACTTGAAATTCTTGGACCTATTTTGACTAAATGTAAATCTATTGTTTCCTTCATGAAACGCAGCACTACTGCAATAGCTAAATTTAAGCAGGCCCAAAATATCGAAAGCCCGTTTGGCCTGATTCAGGAAGTGTCAACTCGATGGAGCAGTGCCTTTCAAATGATAAAAAGGCTTTTAGAAACGATGCAAGCATTGTCATCTGTCTTGTTGTGTACGCCTAAGGCTCCAGTGCCATTTTCCGCCGAGGAAATCGATATTTTAAAGGAACTCACGGAACTTCTTTCTCCGTTCCAAGATGCAACTATGGCCACTTCCGGCAGCAAGAATGCGACAATTTCTCTCGTTATTCCCCTAACATGCGAGCTTCATCAAAAACTGCAAAACTTGAGACCTAATCTTAAAACTGCAGAAGTTGTCTGTGCCTTCGAAATTTTAAGTAGCCGTTTAAATGATAGATTCGCCCACTACGAAACACGCACTGTTCCCCGAATAAGAACCCTGATTGATCCTAGATTTAAAAAGGATGGTTTTAAATCGTCTTCAAATGCAGATCGGGCAGTTAAGGCTTTGGAGCAGGAGATATACACCGCTTTGTCAAGTACTTCACGGGAGCAGCCAACACCACCCGAACCTTCGCAGAAACCAAAATAAAATATTTTGAAATTAATGATTATAAGTATTTTTAGACGAACGCAGATAGTATGATGCCTTTCAAAGAGGTAGCTAAAAAATATTTATGCGTTCCAGCAACCTCGTGCGAGTCGGAAAGGATGTTCAGCAAGGCTGGGCAAATTATTTATGACCGGCGTACACGCCTCAAGCCTTTTGTAGTGGACAAACTTATGTTTCTAAACAAAAATCAAAATATTTTTGAAGACTTACATATAATGGAAAACATTTGCTCTCTTTTTTTAATACATATGTATGTACATATGTATGTTCGTAGTCGACAATCTTATGTTTCTAAACTAAAATCAAAATATTTTTGAAGATTATTGGGTTCATTTGATCTCTTTTTTTAATATGTTCGTAGTCGACAAACTTATTTTTATAAACAAACATCAAAATATTTTTAAAGATTTAATTAAAAACATTTTATATCTTTTTAAAAAGGTGTATGTTAACCCCAATGAATAAATATGTTACGTTTATACAATCTTTATGTACCAACTTTATTTTGAATTTGAGCGCCTTACTCTTTTCAGAACAATCGGTGTTACATCGATGTTTGGTTTCAAAACATCGAAAACATCGATGGTAACAAACATCAATGTTTCTCCACCTCTATCGTTAAAATGTTTAAAGATTTGTAAAAAATTTCCGCCTCAACAAAGACGCATTTAAAAGTGTTTTAACAATTATGGAGGAAGAGCTTGGGCGAAGTGTAAAATCATCATCGGTGACTCCTATAAGTAGATTGATGGCAGTTTTGAGGTTTTTCGCTGAAGGAAGCTACCAACACGGTGTTGGGAAAGATTTTGATGTGGGGTTGGCGCAATCCACGTTCTCAAAAACATTGACAAAAACTTTAAACATCTTGGAACGCCGCACTATGGGCAATATGAGGCATTTGCTGATCAAAAATCTGTAACTTTTTTGTTTGTAAAGTTACGATCATGACATTTTGCGTGTAGATAGTGTAAACCATGTTAATTTAAACCATGCATTTTTAATTTTTGTATCTCCTTTGGTTCCCGAGATATAGACCCATATGTGGACTTGGAAAACATAAAAAGTACACTTTCTGATTAAATGGAAAGAAGATATTTGAATATTGGTATTAAACGATTGTTTTTATAAAATATTATTTCTGGGTAACCTGGGTAACTTTTCCATCGACCATTGCAAGGAAAAGTTCATACTTGACCTGTAGTTCTTCACCATCAGTATGTTATCCACAACAGACTTTGTTTTCATCGGGGTTTCCTTTGAAAACTCTATTGAAATTGGTCTACAAAATCTTACTGATGAAGGCGCGGGATTTTGCCAGATAATAGAACCAGATGCTTCATCAATTAATTTCAAAGGAACCAAGAAGCAGTGAACAGATTTGAGTCTGAAATCAACTCAGACTCCTCTGAAGTAGTTGTTTATACTCGCTTTGTCCAGATGAGCAGTCACATCCCCACTTGCTATATTAATTTTGTGCAGTTGGAGGACCTAGCAGGTAATTGTACATACTTATATTTTGCGGTCAAGTATATCCTTAAAAGTAGGCAGCTAACTTTTTTATCGAGAGTAACTTCGTATTTCTTGGTAATTCCGTATGCATGGCGTAAGGTAATTTTTTCTAAAAACTATTAGAATCTCACAAATTAAACATCAGATAAAAGGTGCGGTTGTCTAGTTTTCGAATATATAAATTGTTTTTTGTTAGGTTTAAAGCTTTATTAGTTATAGGGTTAAAAGCCCAGTGATACTAGTAGCGGCTCAAATCCCGCATTCTCACGTAGCGTCACTTAAAACATCATAACTTCAAATGGCGCAAACTTGCGCAAACTTTTTTTTTCGTGTAATAGGAGGATTTTCATGCTTTTAATGAATTCAAATTCAAAACCTTCGAATCCTTCATCGGAATTAAAAAAATGAAACAAAATGTGTGTTTTATTACAGAAGCTATTGCTGCAATCTGTTATTTCAAAATAAAATATTTATAGCTAATTTTAAGTCTGAATATAACATGTAACTCAAGTCCGTATTTCTTAGTAGGTCCTTGCTAGGAAAAAATTCCCAAACTGCGGATCTGAAAATTACTGCGTTGCGAGTAAAAATTTCAACAATTTGAATATGTCAACTTCTTACGCAATTTTCACTTTATTTCATTAAATAAACACGCAAAAAATCAATACATCATGAGAGCACGCTTTATTCCCTAAAGAATGATACCAAACATTTATGTTATTTACAACTTTTCAAAAATGCATTTATGATCAGCCTTTGTACTAGCTCGATCCACAGTGCGCCGACTGTGCCCAGTATGGATTAAATTGTCAATGACGGAGGCTGGATATCCATTACAACCGTGGTTAATTACACCATTCCGTTCTCCTGTGGCAGGAAGTCGAGAAAGCGCCTTCAAGAAAACGCACAGTAAAGCGCGCAACATAGTCTAGAGAGTCATCGGCGTTTT